TGAGTTTATGGGGGTGAGTTTTTGGGGGGTGAGTTTGGGGGGTGAGTTGAGGGTTGAGTTGAGGGTTGAGTTGAGGGGGTGACTTGGGTTGAGTTGGGGTGCTTTGTGGGGCGAGGACGACAGGAAAGCTGGGAGCGTTGATGCTGCGTCCGGCCAGAGGGCTGCTTCGCCGGTGCGCTCTCCCTCCCGCTCCCCCTGCCCCCCAACTTCCCCCCCACCACACACACACGTCTTACTTGCGGAGGTTCTGCACGCAGGGAGGGGCCTTGTCCAGCCACCCCGAGATGGTCTTCTCGTGCTGCCTGTGCTGCGCCATGGCGTAAAACTCCTTGGCGCCGCAGGCGGTCGAGTTCCCGTGCTCGTCAACGGCAGTAAACATGGCCACCCGCCCAGGGTCCATGCCGACGACCATGTGGATCTCGGCTTCCGTGAGGGGTAGTCCATGTCTGCGGTGAGAGGGGGGAGGGGGTGGGACAGGGTGGGCCGTGGTTGGATGGCAGAGTGGGGGTGTCGAGAGGGCACACCTTGCAGAGGTACACGAGCGTGTGACGGAGACACGACGGCAGCCCAGGCTCCCCACACCATGACCAGCGCCTCGAGACCGGCACGGCACTTTGTCGATGACACAAGATGCCGCCCACCCTCTTTTTCCGCGGGTGTGAGTGTGTGTGGGGGGGGTGGTGGGGGCCCCCCCCCGAACTCGCAAAGCACACACACAGGGTCCTGTACCGACCCGTGCCACGCACCGGTAGTGCTCGTTGGCAATCTCTCGGCTCTGATGATGAAGGGCGCCCTTGGACGCCCCAGCGTTGTTGCGCTTGCCCGCCTTTGCCTCCTTGGGAGGGGGGGGCGGGGGGTCGCCGGGCCGGGGAGGGTCTCTGGGTCGCTGCAGGGTGACGGCGACGGTGTACCCGTTGGTACGCCAGTGCCCCCCGGAAGTCCAGCGGCCGTGCTCGAAGCGCCGGTAGTCGAAGAGGCGGGCGAAGAACGCCCAGCCGATGTGGACGCACAGGGCCTTTTTCTTCTTGTGCCACTTTTGCTTGGCGAGGAGGCAGGCCCTGATGGCCGCCTCCTTTCCGGGGGGTAACCTGCACCCCTCCAGGTTGAGCCGCGCCAGCACCTGGGAGCGGAGCGGTGGGTGGAGGCACGGTGAAGGAGGCGGTTGCCTGGGGATCCGGAAACAGGCGGCACCATGTTGCCACGCTGGCACGTTGGGGGGGGGGCAAGGCAATGGAGTGAAGGGCATCGCCGATGCTTTTCATTGCTGAGTGGATGCTGCTGTGGGCGGTTTGCGCTGGTACCAGGTACGCATACCCTCCCCACAGCGGCATCGACCGACCCCCTTGGCCCCTTTCGCCATCCCAGACAAACACCGGGTGTCACCTCGTCCATCGGCGCGGCACACCAGAGGGCCTTCGTGGGCAAGTTCATGCCGGTCAACTCCGCCACGCTGCCGTGGTTGAGCACCTCGTGGCGGCGCAGGAGACCCCTCAGCGACGACAGCGTCCCCGTCACATACGCCGCCTCATAACCCTGCTTGCAAGGCAGCAGGCCAAACAGGCGGCCGACGTGGCGCTGCGGCGGCGGTGGCTTCGGGGGGTCCGCGGTGGCGGGCCCGCGGGCGGCGTGCCTGCGGGCGGCGGGCTCGCGGGCAGCGCGCTGCCGCTCGGCGGCGCGCTCTCGGCGCTCGGCCGCCGCCGCGCGCTGCTTCTTGCCGAGGCCCCGCCGCTTCTTGGTGGCGGGGTCGTGCTCGTGCATGACCTCGCGAATGCGTGCACCGAGCTCGCGCACGGCGCCGCCACCGGCAGTCGACGCGCCAGTCCCTTCCTGCGTGGCGGGAGAAGGGTTTGGTGGTGAAGAAAGGATGAAGCATTTGGTCACGACCCCCATCCCACCCAGCAGAAGAGGCCACCCAGCAGAAGGGGCCACCCAGCAGAGGGGCCACCAGTGAGACACTGCTGATTCCCCCACCCTCGTCATACACACTGTCTCAGCACGCCCCAATTGGCCTCACGGTTCGGGAAGCATCGAGCTGCGTCGCCTCGCCCGGCTCCTCACGCGCCGAGCTCTCGGGAGCCTGCGCTGCTGCCGGTGCAACACGCTCTCGCTTCGCCAGGAGCCGTTTGGCGAGAGGGAGGCACAGGTGGGGATAGGTTTCCCACAGGTCCTTCTTCGGCCTCTTGGGCATGCACCCGCGCAGCTCCTCGATCCACTCTACTTGCTGCTCGGTGAAGTATGCAAGGGGCCGAGCGGTCACTCTCCGCCGGTCGGGCTCCGTGGCTTCTGCGTGGACATCAGCGGCTGCTGCGTCGCCATCGGCGGCTGCTGCGTCGCCATCGGCGGCTGCTGCGTCGCCAGCGGCCGCTCCTGCGTCGCCAGCAACGGCTGCTGCGTCGCCAGCAACTGCGGCCGGGGCCAGCGATCCGGTGGCATCGCCCAGGCCGGGCGCCGCGGCCGCGTCGGCGGCTGGCGCCGGCGGGGCGGCTGCACCAGCAGGAGTGGGCACGGCGGCCGGTCGGCGCACAAACTCGACGGCCAGGACGGCGCGGGCACAGCTGTACGCCCGCCGCGCGCTGCAGCCCAGCTCCAGCTGCGCGTTCTGCTTCAGGCGCCTGAAAAACTCGCGCTTGTAGTAGGTCTTGGTCACCGTCTCCATGTCGCGCGCTGCCTCATCCATGAAGTAATGCAGGTGCTCCAGGTCTGGGGGCTGGTAGGAGCCGACTGCCTCCTCGCACGTCCGCCGGAAGATGGCCGCGGTCTCCAGGAGGAAGGGGAAAGCCTCCCGAGTCTCCTCTGACCCCTTTTTGTCGGGCTCCGGGCGCAGCCCCGACACTGCCCTCAGACATCTGCCAGATTGTCGGTAGAGGGTGTCGGTGAATGTTTGTGGGCATCACATCACAGCTGAGCGTCTCGCTCTCCCACAGAGGAGTTGTCCTGCTTTGAAACCCAAGATTCTGCAGACTCGACAGAGAAGAGCCCCGTGCTCCCTCCCTCCCACCCACCCCACATCCACCCACTCCACATCCCCCCCCACACCCCTTTAATATGAACCCCCGCCCCCACCACCACACCACCCACCACACACACACACACACACTGACATGCAAGGAAAGATCTGGACAAACGACCAGATCCACCACATTTCCCAACCACAACACACACTACACAAACAAGACCTGCACCTGCAAAAGAATGTGTTATTAAGGGGGTGCAGCACCTTGTCGGCGTCTGCGCACTTGGCTGCCTTTCGCCGCTCAAACTCCTCCACGACTCGTAAAACGTGGAGCTCCGCGAGGAGGCCGCCCAAGATGGTCGTCACCGCCATGGTGTAGACGATGTTGTCCAGGGTCGGCCGCAGCGGATCCTGCGAGCTCCTCCCCCTTGGCGGCTTTGGCAGGCCACGAAAGGCGTTCAAGGTACACTTGATGGTGGTGAGCACCTCGTCCACCTTTCCAGAGGTCCCGTCGCCGTCTCCCCTGGCTGCTGCCGGCGCCCTCTCCGTGGACCACTCGTTGATCACGGCCTCGATCGCTGCCGTTTCGGCAGCGAGTTCGGCCTCGGTCGGCCCTTCTTCCGTGGCAGGCGCTTCCAGGTCCCATGGCACAGGGGCGAACTGAGGTGTGGTGAGGGATGTGTTTGGCAAGGGGACTGCATCGGTGTATTGGACCTTTTTGCTAGAGCAGCCACTCCAGGACAGCCCGCCGCTTATTATACAGCTTGCCAGCAAAACCACCATTCCAGGACAGCCCGCCGCTGGTTGCACAGCTTGCCAGCAAAACCACCACCACCACCATTCCAGGACATCCCGCCGGTTGTTGTACAGCTCACCAGCAAAACCCACCACAAGCATCACTCCAGGACAGCCATCGAACTATGCACCTGAACCGCAGAGGCAAGGGGTCTCAAGGCGGATGGACCATCATCGTCATCAACCGTCGCCACAGCTCCACGGGTCGTGCGCCTCTTCTTGCGGCCTGGCTGGACCGCTTCGCTGGGAGTGCCGCTGCGGGGCGTGGATGCGTGGCTGGGATGAGCGGTAGCTCCTCGCGACATTCGCCACTTTTGCGACCTTGAACGCATCCGTGCATGCCAGGAGCTCGACAGTGTGGAATGCATCTGCCCCACAACCTTGAGCTTCCACAGTCCCAGACAAGCTACCCGAGCATGCCTGGGCGGAGGGTGGCCAGCGGCAGCCAGTGCCGACCAGTTTTCCTGTATGCGGCGCACGTTGTCGCCCGGTGTCGCCCGGCCACACTTCAACCCCCGCGCATCGCATGGAGCGTGCGCGACGCCGAATGCCAGCCTCATCGGTGGGAGGGCAGCCGCGCGGCTTGAGGCGATTGCCCAGTTTGGGCTGCGGAAATCTCACGCCCAACACCCTGTTGACGGAGGTGGGGGCGAGGGCTCTCGGCGTCTCGTGCGACGGCATTGGGTCGGGACTGGCCAGCAGCAGGTGCCATGCGCGAGACAGTAGCATCGCTGTTGTGGTCGTCGGAACCCGATGTACACCCTACCAACAGGTAATGCAAGGTCACACTTACCTAGTACTGTTCCGATTGGCCATGGGTTTGGAGCGAGGGGACTGAAGGAGGTCGAGAGGTGTCGGTGCTTGACCGCAGAGTCAAGCGACCCGGCTCCTTCTGTCGGACAGAGCATGACGGGGCGTCGGTGCAGTCGATCAGGTGTTTTCGATCATATTGAAGGCACAATGACGACGACGGGTGGCCTGTCGCTTCTACTGGGAAGTGGACGACGGGGGCATCCAGAGAAGATCAAACTCCCGATCAGCATCAAACTCCCGCTCAGCATCAGCATCAAACACCCCCCGCAACCCCCCTTCCTCCTTCCACCACACACACATACAGGCATCCCAACCCACCGCGTGCTGGATTCACCGAGGTATTGCAATCAGACAGACTGGCGGCGAGGTGGAGTGGTGCACAAAGGGAGGTATGTGGACGCGGAGCGTCGGTTCTGGGGACGCGATCGCGGGCATGGCTGCGATCACGGGCGGTGTCGTCGACACGCGTGTAAACCCGTATGCGGGATACCAGCGATCAACTCATGATGAGAAGCTGCGAGGAGAATGCCCGCATGCGCGATCCTTCTGGCCGTGTATGCCCTGAGGAGAAGGGCGGGTCACAGCTTCGGTCACCGCCCGCGTGCCGGGAGGTTGACCTCCGCAACCAGCATTGCCCTCGTTTACCTCCGACGCGTGTGCAGCCTGCCCTCGCGAAACCGTTGCAGCATGCAATGGGAGAACGTTCTCAGAAAGAGGCTCACTCTGGACAATCTGTCGTTGATGCCGCACATTCGGCCGTGCAGGACACTCCAGATCCGTAATGTTGCAACCCCCCCCCCTTTTTTAGCTCGCTGGCTGATATCCCCGCCCCGGGAAAACACCTGGCCACCGCAGCTTCTGCCTACGTGCCTTGCACATTCAGTTCGAAATTACTGCCTGCGATATTAGCGCCGATGGCGGTTTCCTCGCGCAGCGTTGTTGTGGGGGCGGGCTGGCCCCCACAACGGTGGACCGCTGTATATGACCTGAAGTAGGAATGTTACAGACGAGACCCCGAATGCAGTGTGTTGGTTGGGTTTCATAGACGTCGCAAGGAGGCATGGACTCGGTGCGGAGCAGGAACAGATGGAAAGTGGGGAAAGGGCCGGTCAAAGGGAACCCCCACAACAAGCGTACAGACTGCTCTGCACGGCAAAGTTAAGGCACGAGGCCATTCAGAGGGGACACGAGACGAGTCGTTTCACAGGCTGTAGGGAAGCGCTCAAGCCAGAGAGTACAGTCCATCGACCCGGCAAGATTGGATTGCCTGAAATTCAAGCTCACTTCTGGGGGGGAAATGCGATAAATGCAAGCTTCTTTCGGGGTATCCTGTGTGCCACCATACTTGCCGCCTGGCGAAACACCAGGGCCATGAGCGGCATGCCAGCCTATTCCAGGACGGCGGCAGGGACCCCGACAGCGGCATACATGTTCCCTTCCTCCGAGCAACCCTCCCCGGCCCACTATCGGGAGGAGGGAGGTGCCGACCAACTCCTTGACTCCAATCCTGTCTGGGGTGGAGTTCCTGCGTTTTTTTGCGTTATTTATCCATCTTGTGCATAAGTTGAAACCTTCAAGACGTCCCTGAAGCGCTCGATGAAGCGAGTGCGTGAGTAGGGCGGCGGGATCGCGTTCGGGGGACCATCCCAGGATCACAAGCACTCTCGAGAGGCCTCCTTCTGTCAATGCGCAACATGAATCAAAGTTCATTGACATCGAGGCCATTTATATTGCATGCTTCGTCCTCGCCCTCGCAAGTAGATGTCCAAGCGCGGGACACCACATCGAGTGCATCCGGGCAGTGCATGCTCCTTTTTTCACTTTCCGGCAAGAGAGCTGCCAAGGTATTGCGACCTCAGACTGTCGTCCATTTGGAATACAAACTCGACGCGCAATCCACTGCGCTAAAGGGGCATCCTGGGGTTAATCAGGCGCGGAGAACTTTCAAGGTTGGAAAATGAACTAAAACCCAGGTCAAGTATATACCCGTGCGCAACATATGCTTCGCACGAGTCGAAGATATGTCGCTACCGGGCTTGCGCCGGTTGCACAGCTGCTTCCCGCAAGCGGGATCTGACTGGCGCAGTTGGTTGCCTCGATCGGCGAACCAGAGGGGGGTGGGGGGTGGGGGGGGGCGGGAGAAGGGGAAGCAGGGGGGCCACCAAATGCAGTGGGACGAAGTGCACCAGCAAAAAAAGCACTTGGTCAACATCAGGATGTTGGCCG